TTGTTTGTCAACCATAGCTCATTCTTCCTAAATTAGGATTTACTGTGATGGCATTGGGAATAAAAAGGGCGGAGCACTGAGCAAGATGCAATAGAATTATTGCAAAATTTGTATTTCAAACTCCAAAACTGCTGACAGAGGAAAACCACTGAAGTGACAGTCACTGGAGAACCGTAAAGTATAAAATGAGACAACGTCATTTTGATTTGATCTGGACAAAGATGAAAAACCTGCATCTGCCTCTCCAGTAACACAGAGCAGATTTTTCCTGTTGGCATTCTATTTTACATATATTCTCAAAATATGTTTTTCAGATACCAAGCATGGTCATCAATCTACTCTTGCAACAAAAGCCTCTGCTGAAGACAGATGAAATGACAGAACATATCTGAGGATACAACAAGTTCAGCCAATAGATAGAACAATGCAGGCATCTAAGGAGTTCAAGGTTAATTCCCTTTCTGGAATTAAACAGCAAATGGCACCAGAGTCCAAGCAGGAACTGGGAACAATGCCACGACTGATGCTCTGTTTTTCCTCTATAGTGATCTAAAAATAACCGTTTTGGATGTCTGATGAGAAAAACACCAGCCTGTAAAGCCATCGATACATACTTCACCGCTCCTTTAGCCAAAACCAAGGAAACTAAGATTGTAGAGAGAATCTGAAACAAATCAACGCAGACACATTCACTGTAATACCTCTGTGTTTTCTTTTTTTCCACAGTTCTAGTCTCAGAGAAGAAAAACATCAGAAAGGAGCTCAGCTTTAACAGTCGCATCACCAGATTATAGGTTGTGGGTTTCAGCACTATTGTGTATAGCACAGCACTTCTCCTTCAACAGCACATACAAAGAAGACAGACACCTTCTCACATCAGCTTCATAAGCCCAAACAATGAGGCCTAAAAGCCTTTCATTTCTGAAGTCACTCGTTTGAACCTAGCAGAGTTCACTCTGAAAGACAGCTAAGAGGCACCTTCCTTTCTTGTTTGGTTGCCAACTCTTAGTGTTCTTGGTTCAGGGGCAGAATCCCAGACTCCCATCGTCAGCATCAATGACTGCAATTACATCCTGTTTGAAAAGAACTTCTCTCCAGGGCTTTGACAGGTTGTGTTCCCTCTTCTAAATGTATATGTTGACGTAAGAAGGTAAAAAAACCAAACCATCAAAAAGCCACTATTCCACTCTAAAGTCTCCCTCCCCAAAGGAATACTTAGTGGCAAAACCAAAAATTTATGCCATGAAGAGATTTCAAAATCACAAAACAATTCTCAGCCTGTATTTAATCACACCTAAACCAAATAATTTAATATTTAAACCAAAACAAAACCCCAACAAACCAACATCTTACTTTTCCCACCTGTAGACAGCATTATGTGCACTTGAATACAGCTTGAACCGAAATCAATTTCCACAATGATCTCTAAAGTCCCTTCCAGCCTAGGCCATTCTATGATTCTATGATAATGAATCTCACCACAGCAAGCTGAGTAAAGAATTTATGAAAGTGGCCAAATGGTGAAACGAGAACATGAATATCATCATTCCACCGTTTTCAGTCTCACACTGAATTTCACTTCATAGTTTATATTAAGACCAAAACTGATAAAACATTCTCAGAAGACCAGAGTTGTCATCAAACTCAAAGATGATGAAGACATCTTGGCAACAGCCAAGAACAGAACGATATGATAATCAAAGCAGCATGGATGTTCTGTGCCACTATTATTCCATCACCGTGTCCTGGTATCACGTTATTTTGAATAAAGGCAGTAAGATGCAGTGCATGCTCTTATTTTTACTTGTGGAATACTACAATTTACATTTCAAAACCAAAACAGAGAGCCACAATAATTTTTTAGAAAAGGTAATCTTTCTCTTCTAAGTAATCACTTTCTCTAAACAAAAACTAGGAAAAGATGACCAAGATTAAAGTGAAGCAGTTAATCGATGATACAGCTGCTCTCCAGAAAAGCATTTCCAGTTATAAAACGTTCAAGTCAGCTCAGGATTTTTAATTCTTTGCCATGTAAGACAAATAGACATTTTTAGCGATAATAAATAAATGCAATATCCTGACAGCTACAAGGAGGAAAATTCCAGCAAGCTACATGCAAGCCTGGAGAAGTCCTACAGTTCTCCAGACCTGCACATCGTGCGTGACAGTAAGCCAAACACTCGGCTCGAGTGCTGAAAGGCAACATCTCCCTCCTGCTCCCAGCTATGTGCTTTGGACGTATCTCATGCTGTCACCCAAGCGCTGGGCTCCTATGTGTGCTGCTCTATCTTTCTACGGCAGTAGAAAACAAGCCCAGGAAGCAAATCAAAAGCCCAGTATGGATGGTTCTCTATTGCACTGGGTGATTTACCCTTTGTTGGGTAAAAAACGATTGGATGACCAGGCCCAGAGAGTGGTGGTGAATGGTGCTGCATCCAGTTGACATCCAGTGACCAGTGGTGTCTCCAAGGATCAGTACTGGGCCCAGTCCTGTTCAAAATCTTTACTGACGACCTGGATGAGGGGATTGAGTCTACCCTTAGTAAGTTCGCAGATGACACCAAGCTGGGCGGAAGTGTTGATCTGACGGAGGGTAGGAAGGCACTGCAGGGGGACCTGGACAGGCTGGCTCGATGGGCCAACGCCAGCAGGATGAAGTTCAACAAGATCAAGTGCAGGGTCCTACACTTTGGCCACAATAACCCCCTGCAGCACTACAGACTGGGGAGGGGCGTGGCTGGAGAGTCGTCCAGCAGAGCGGGAGCTGGGAGTGTTGGGTGACAACAGGTTGAACATGAGCCAGCAGTGTGCCCAGGTGGCCCAGAAGGCCAAATGGCATCCTGGCTTGTATCAGGAACAGTGGGGCCAGCAGGAGTAGGGATGTAATTCTGCCCCTTTACTCAGCACTGGTGAGGCCTCACCTCAAGCCCTGTGTGCAGAGCTGGGCCCCTCACTGCAAGAAAGACACTGAGGGGCTGGAGCGGGTCCAGAGGAGAGTAATGAGGCTGGGGTGAGAAGAGGCTGAGGGAGCTGGGGGTGTTTAGCCTGGAGAAGAGGAGACTCAGGGGGGACCTTACCACTCTCTACAACTACGTGAAGGGAAGCTGTAGTCAGCTGGGGGTCGGGCTCTTCTCCCAGGCAACCAGTGACAGGATGAGAGGGCACGGCCTGAAACTGCATCAGGGGAGGTTTAAGTTAGATATCAGGAATCACTTCCTCACAGAGAGGGTGGTCAGATATTGGAATGCACTGCCCAGGAAAGTGGTGGAGTCACCGTCCCTGCAGGGGTTTAAGGAGATGTGGCACTTAGTGCCATGGTCTAGCAAATGTGATGGTGTTGGGTCAGAGGCTGGACTTGATGAGCTCAGAGGTCTTTTCCAGCCTCAACAATTCTGTGATTCTGTGATTCTCTGAGTATCCTATGGAAGGATCTGACAGTCATCAGTACTGGCAGACAAGGGAAAGGACTGGACTGAGCAGCAGCGAAGTCAAAATTCTCCTTGGTGCCAAAGAACCACTCCCAGGCGAAAGCTGGCTTTGCCACTAACTCAGCATGTGGCACTGGTCATCTCCCTTAGCCACAGCTTATTTGTCCACTTGAAAACAAGCACGGTTGTCACCTTCCTCAAAAATATGTGTTGAGAGCTGAAGTTTGGAACTGCCACTGAACATGAAAAACATAAATTATTATTATTGCATTTTTATATGCATAACAAATGATTGTCTGGGGGGAAAAAAAAAAAGAACCAACCTAAAAACAAAGCTGTGATTTCATCACAGTCAGGGTTATAGGCATATGTTGGTGGGGACACAAAGGACAGTTTTTAAAGGAATAAAAAGGTAAAAGTGAAGAGGAAAAACTATATTCTATCATGACTGAGTCCCAAGTTCAATCAAACAGAAATCAGCTGTGTATTTAAAGTGGAGAAACAGTGCCTCAATCTTACAAGTATACAAGTCAGTGCTGAAAGCTGAACATCCCTCTTTTGTGTCTCTCATATCCCTCTGAAACAGGGACTTGTTATAGCAAGCTCATTCATTGCTCCTCAGAGAACTAGATGGACAGCTGAATCACTCAGAAGCTGAAGCTGCAGTTGATATGAGTACTTATTTTCAAGGAAAAGTGTTTTTTCAAGAGGCACAAAATACAGCATTTATTATTTGCATTATGGTAGCTTTCACCTAGCAACTGAAAACAGCAGTAATATCTCATTACAATACGAGCAGAAGGTAATACTCCCTCCCTTGAATATCTGACAACACTCAGATCCTACCAATGTCTAAACATATGCTTACAGAAAGTAAGTCAGCAGAAGCAATAATAAATTCACCTCTCAATTTGATAGCCTTTCCAGTCTGTCTGTCTATGGGTGACGGTTCCTAGAGACTGTGCAGGATCAATCCTGTATCTTCAGCGTATTTGAAGCAGGCAATAAAAATGGGAGACCACAAGAAGAATGGAAGTATCAGTGCCATGGACCAGTGATTACGCTGCATTCACCTAAAACCTACTGAACTTGAATGAAGTCTTTCAGTTGACCGGTATGATCAGAACCTCAGGTGCAAGGCCTCACCTAGGCAATGGATATCAGCAAACAACTGCTTTTCATATTAATGATGCACAGGCATTCCAACACCCTGGAACATTCTGAGAAACCCACAATGCATTTGTATTGCACTGCTCCTAAAATACACAAATAAATGACTGAATAGATGCCTCCACATCAGCAAAGCCCCCTAACTCTCTTCTTAGAGAGTTTTACTGCAGTCTGTGAACAGACATTTAACAGATCTCTCTTTGCAAATAAAACAAATTATTTTAAAATTAACTTTTCCACATGTAGATAACATATAACATCTCTTCCAAACTTGTCCCAGATAGTACTGGACATTTTCTACATTTTGCATGTACTGGAATGTTTGTTTTATCAAGTTACAATATCAATTTTAAAGAAAGAAATAAAGTATTACCACGTTAACCAAACAACATATATACATACCTGATAAGTAACACTCTTCTTTCCATCGTCATTTGTTTGAGGCAAGGTCAGAGGTCCAGAAACTACCCAAACGTCCTCAAATCTCTCAGTCAATTCCCGACAATACATTTCCATTCTGGAACATATTTGTCAGACAGGGTAAAGTCAGCTGGGAAAATTTAACATAACCATCTTTGAAACATACTGTGAAGGGCAAGATGAACTACTGACAGTTTGGGAGCATTTTTCCAAACTCATGTGACTGACTTGAAAGCAAAGAAGATAAAACACAGGCCCAAGTCATACTTCCCACTTGTCCCAGCTTCACTTATTTACAGGCATGTGATATCACACACATTTGAAAATGGTTTCTGTAGCCTTACCACCTGTCCTGAAAATCTGAGTTCTCTGCTCATTCCCACACTTGACATCAGAAGGACTATTGATAGATGGTCACTCAGGATTAGCAAAATACTTGCTTTAAACAGCACGTTGTGAGGTTCTTATTTCAAAAGGTTTTACCACATTACTGAGTTTGCACGTTCCTCCTCAAGAAATCAATGCCCTGTAGCAGACAGCTCTTTTGGTAGCCCGAAGGACTTAGAAAAGTTTCTGCACATCATTCCCACTAAGCCTACTTACTGATTTTTCATATACAACTGTTCAAAAATAAATCAGTAATTCCAGAAATATTAACATTATTTTCGCTTTTTAAAATAGTTGAGTAAGTAGGTTTCTGGGTTGTGCTTGTTTTATGTAAAGCAAAAGATTACAGCCTGTCTTTGATCTAACACCTCAAGTGTAACAGAAATCACATAGAGCGAGCACCCTTTGGCCCTTTACTGAAGACAGTGTAGTGCTTCACTCAAATGGACAAGCACACCAGAACACAAGGCAGACAAGCCCAACTAATCTGGCTGCCTCTGGAAGTGGAAGGTTTCACTCCCTTCTCTGCCTCATCCCCGTTCCTCGCACCTCTCCCTTGGGCCACCTTTTGCACTCTTCACCCGTCAATAACCCTGAACAAAACCAGCATTGTTTCTCTGCTGAGTTCGTGAGTTAAATCAGCTCACACAAAGCAGAATTAGCAGGAATAAGCCCTTTCCTCTTTGGTACGAATGGGCTGCCACGTGCTACACCAAAGCACTGACCACAGGCTAATATTTTCCTGCTGTTGTCAGCTTTGCCTCCAAGCAGCTCAGCTCCTCAGGCTGTGTCATGGCATGAGGATACACACACCACCTGGTACAAGGGAAGAATGGGAATAAATGCAGCTAGGGAGCAAACTGCTTTTGGTGGCAGCAGGGACAGAGATCAGACTGCAGCCACCACGAACTCATACTCAAAACAAGACAGAAAATGACAGTTAAACATCAAGAGAGAAGCATGTGTGTTGGCAGGAGGAGAACGAGGAATAAATACTAAGGTGCACTTAGATCACACCACTGAACCAATCTAGTAGCTTATTATCTAACAGCTTCCTGAAAGATGCAGTCCTGCTCTCCCTTTTCCTACTTCTGCCCCAGTGAACAGTCCTACTCCACCTCCTGTGTTGGCTCCGGCACTCACCTCATCAGTTGATCCAATTTTCTAATCTGGCAGAAACAAAACCAAGCAAACCAAAATGCAAACCAGTTTAACTGGGTTAGTAAATGGAATTGATTCATCACAGTCAGGCTACAACCAGAGCTGGAACGGGGAAAGCAGCAAAAAGATACAGCTGGAGGGCAAACACCACTTTAAAAAAACAAAAGATGGTTAAACTGACTAAGCTGTACTGCCTACCTGCACCTCAGAAACAATTCAAGAAGGAAGCACTTCAAAAAAAGAGAGAGGAAGAGAGTACTAAAGACAGGAAGGGCCACAACAGGCATGAAACACAGTATCCTTAAAACTATTTTTCATTAAACAACTGACTGACCAAACAAGTGACACAAATAGCTTGTTCATGTATTTAAATCGTGGGGATAAGAGTGCTGGGGTTGGGAGAAAGCAGTAAGAGCCGTTTAAATTGCAGGGCTGATAGTGCCAGGGGCAAGTTTCAAACACTCCTCATGATTTCCTGATTAGGCAGAGATCCTACTCAGGAGAAATAAAGAGGGTTTCCAAGCTTTAATTGGTGCAAATGCCTAGCTTTGGTACAGGAAAATTCGTGCTCAAATACTTGAGGTATTAAAACTATTAAAAAAGATCTCTTAAAATGTTATAGCATTTTATTTGTCTGTAAAACAGTATAACCTTTACTGAATGCTCCACAGGTTTTTATATGCGTTCTTGTAAAATTGCAGTGTGTAGTTGAATTGTGATGTATTTTTGATAAGACTTTTAGTACAACACTGTACATAATTTTGCTAACCTGCCCTTGAGCAAACCTTGTGAAATTCATCATTATCCCTTCCTGTTTCTGAGTCTTAACATTTTCTAAGTCCTATGCAAGAAGCACTGGATGAATGCTACTTTTACTAATGTTTTTTCCTGCTTCAAAGCCGGAAAGAATAAAAATCCTACATGAAGAAAGTTTAAATTTATCAACCACTCACTTCACCTCAGAGTCGATCCAGCCAGTCCTCACAAGTGACAGAGAACCTGCCGGACTGTTACTTGGAAGAAACACCTAAGACCCTAAGTAGTCCTGACTCAGTGGGGAGCACTCAGTTCTCCAATTCAAAGTAAACCAACGTCCATGTAGAGAGACATGAAAACGCTCACACTGGAAGCACCTTTTTGAGGAAGAGATGTTAGGGCAAGATCTAACCCCTTTCCTCGCTTCTACTGAATTCTCTTTAAGGACAGAGATGTTAAGCCTGGTATCTTTACCTACCTCAGCCAGAAGAAGCAATTTTATCTATTCTAAATAAATGTCCTCTGCAGTTTGATTGAATAAGTAACTAAAGCAGTCATTACACTGCTCTTGCATTGTGAGGACTGAGCTGCCTTTCCTTTCAAAGAAAGTTCCTAGGATCTCTACAGACAGCCCATAAAGTGCTCTAGAATACATGGCTGTGAAGAAGCTTTATAAATACAACATGTCTGACTTATGCTACTGCTTGATATTTTTCACATAGTTTACTTAAAAGTAATTTCTCACCTGTTCCAAAATCCAGCATTATTTTCATAATTCTGAGGCACAATGTTAGACAGATAAAATGTTTCAGCCATAGCTCTCTGCATAAAGAAAAGAATATAATTTCATTGAAATATTTACGAGCTGAAAACATATTTTACAAGCTGTTGTATCAGAACCCATTTCTACTTTAGTCCTACCATTACCTAAATAAAAGGCCAGGCAAAACCTGACTCGGAACACCTACAAAGTCATTTTGGATTAAGAGATGTAGATCTGAGGTGCAAGCCATGCAAAATGTATCTGTTTGTACGTTTGCTTTGACAGAAATGTAGCAAAAGATTATCTAGTTTTCAAGGTATAGAAGTACTATGTCTCCCAGTGTCACTTTTGTAATGTCTTTGTAAGCAATCAGCTACCTTTCTTTTTTGAATGGGAAGGATTCTTTCACCCATGCTTTTCATTCACTTGACTGCCTAATGGCTAGCTTCTTCCTTCTGAGAAAAGGTTTTATTAAAAATCTTCATCAGTATTTTACAAATATATAATAGGCAGGTGATGAAACGATTTATGAGACCATAAAGGTCAAACACCTACATATCTGCTTAATTTTATCTTTAAAGGTGTCACAAACCTCTCTGAACTGAAGCCCATGTTATCTGCAGATGTGAAGGACCTGATGCTAAAAGATTCTATGTAAGTAGGGAAATATAGGAGAAAAAAAGCTTCCAAGATCTTAACCCAGAATCTTCATAGGTCCTGTACTTGCTAATATTTTTCACACAGGACTTCTTCAAATTGAAGGGGCTGTTAGAACTCCTTAAGATAATGAACAAACACTACCCGCACTAATTAAACTCTGAAACTGAATTTTTATAATCCAGTAAGACTGTGTCATCTGACCGCATTTCAAGACAGGCCCAGGATCTTTCTGCACAGGTAGCTCACCAGCAAAAACTCCCCAGATATCACAAATGAACAGCCACGAAGACACTTCTAGCAGAAATAAAACGACTGGTTCTTTCATCCACCACGTGCCACTGCGCTGCTGCTCTGCCCCACTGCATACTATTCTGCCTGGCAGAAATACAAATTCAAACTGCTTCTTAATTGACAAATTGCTGCATTAGGCACATTTCACAAGAGCATCCAATAAATCCCAGGCTGCTTTGTTAGTCAGCCAAGGCATGAGGGTGTGCTTTTCTTACAGCTCGAACAAATGGCAGGTGAAGACATTCTATAGACTTAAAGAAGCATGGCAAAAGAAGGTTCTAATTTACCTCACACGCGCTGCCAGAAAGGAAAAAGCCTTTTAAATCACCCAGGCAATCCCCTTGCCAATACAGAACAGTACTTAATGGCATCTTTGCTTTGCCCAATCTAGCCTTAAACATCTCAGCACCTGTTGGCCAAAATGAAGTCATCCTTCCCTGTCTCCCTTCAACTGAGCTTCAGAGGACACTTTTGAGGTTTCTTTGAGGAAGGTTATCATCTTCATTTTACAAGCAGGCCATGTGACACACGAGAGGTTGAGGAGACTTGCTTAACACTACATTGTACAGGATATACTTACATCATCTCTACCAAACAAGCAAATCTAGGTGTGATTGCATGGAGAGAGATATGTCACCAGAGAATGCATCTGATTTAGATGCCTGAAGCAGACTGTGAGAGCATGCTACAGTGCTCAGTCAGGAACAGACCTTGTAACTCCAAGTCTGTGCATCAATAGTGAGATCATGTTCCATCTCAAAACAAACTGCGAAAGGAACATTACGCGCTACTTTTAAGGGTCTTTTGACCCTTTCCGACTGATAAACGCTAATTAAAAAGAAAGAAAAGAAAACTGTACTGTTGAAAATTTGTTATCTCCTGCTGGTGCCATGTGTCCTCGTGACCATCCGCTCCCAAGGTAGTCTTCATTGGCAGCACTAAACATGAGAGGGATGTTAGGATCTGGTCTGAATTTACAGTGCCTTCGGTCTGCATTGCCTGAGAAATAAAATGCCATACTGTCAGATCATCATTAAGTCATCATAACAACAAGACAAAAAAATCTGGTTCTGCCACATGTTGCCAAATGACCCACGCTTAGGGATTCAATACATTAATCTCAGTTGAGTACCGTTCTCCTCAACCACACAAGCGAAGAATTTAACTTAAATATCTCTGCTCCAGTCCTAGATTCATTAGAAATTCAGACGTGCTTACTGTTTTCTAGAGAAAAAGCAAAAGCAAAATACAATAGCCTTATCATAACTGCAGATTAATATTAAAGGCAAGCTTGCTAAAGATATAAACCCATATAGATTCACTTTTTAGAATAACAAAGCTATACAGATCTTCACTAGTTGCAGATACATTTTATGTTTGATCCACTACTAGTATTCCCTCTTTATCCAAGTCTAGCCTGGGAAGCAGAATGGGTGTTTCTTGATTAAGTTACACTTGGTAAAATAATAAACCCATTCAAGAGAAAGGCTCAAATGTTTCGTTCTTCATGGGCACAGAAGCGTAGGGTTTTTGTGTTCCTTTCCAAGACTTCCCTTCTATCCGTACAGATATTTGGGAATTAGGCACAAAAAAAGACTAGGCCTAAGTTTTCTGGAAGACAAAAACTTTGGTGGAGGGATGGTTGTGGGAGGAGCTAACTTAAGTGTTGCAGAGACGGCAGCCCACTCTAAGCTGCTGTCTTTCTTGGGAAGACTGTGGCTTCTTCCCAGATTTACTGACCATACACCTATATTTGCATCCTTGCACTGCGTAGAGTCCCAGTCAACTCCTTAGAAAACAGGTTACTCTGAGTGAGCTGTAACTTTGAGATGACTTCATCTCAAACATGGACCACCTCCTTGGAAAAGCCATGGCCAGAAGAGATTTGGGTCGTTTATTCTGGCACTGACAACCTCCAGTAAGACATCGCCTTTCTTAGGGAGTGGCTTGGACCCAAAAATATCCATCGTTAAGAAACGTGCTCCAGAAAAGCAGCAGGAGTTGACGCAGATGTGCCAGTATAATTCTAAGTATCTACCGCACACTGCATTTCTTTATAAATATCAAGGTGTCATCCCAGGCATAATGTCACAGACGCAATATACAGGACCATCAGACAGGCTCTTTTCGTTTAAGCAGGAATAAGGGCCTGCGCACACCAGAGAAAATGTTCCTCACACGTTCCTCTTTCTTCTATAGCTGACTCTGCAGACACAAACACAATGCACGTGCTCTGGCTTTTTTAATCACGTCAATATTATCACTGAGCACCCTACATGTACTCTGAAGAACCCAAGAACATGCAAGGACCACAAGGAAGAAGAGAAGGGGTGGAAGGCTCCAGGGAGACCTTATAGCAGCCCTCCAGTACCTGAAGGGGGCTACAGGAAAGCTGAGGAGGGGCTATTCACAAGGGTGTGTAGCAACAGGATGAGAGGCAATGACTTTAAACTAGAGCAGGGTAGATTTAAATTACACATTATTAAGAAGTTCTTTATTATGAGGGTGGTGAAACACTCGAGCTGGTTGCCCAGAGAGGTGGTGGAGGCTCCATCCCTGGAAACATTCAAGATCAGGCTTGATGGGGCTCTGAGCAACCTGGTCTAGTTAAAGATGTCCCTGCTCACTGCAGGGTTGGACTAGGTGACCTTTAAAGGTCCCTTCGACCCCAGCACATTCTATGATCTCTTGGAAACCAGTGCCTGTAATCAATTTCCTCCTCTTTTCTGACCATCTGCACATAGGTCCAGGGAGATGGTATCAAAACAGAGAGATGGTCAGAGCACCTTTGGGTAGTACAGGTAGAAGGAAGGAGCTTTACTTCTCTTTTCTTTTTTGGTAAAGCATATGACATGATACTTCAACTCAGGACTGATGGTTACAAAGCAACATTGACAGGTTTATCAGCAAGTAAAACAACAGAATTCTTAGCTTTAAAAAATCGTATTTCATCTTAGTAATTAGAACAAAGCACATTTTATCAATTAAACCTGAAAAACTGAAAAATATATGCTTATTTATTCTCTGTTCACTGCTTTGATAAAAGCGGCTAATTTCTTCTGCAATCAGTTTTGTACACGTACATTTACATGTAAAGCTAGTTTATTTCCACCATGTTTGTCCATCATATTTTTACCAATAAAAACCCATATTTTCATACCACATCCTTTCAGAATACAGGACTTTCCCCAAACAACACAGTTCTGCCTCAAATCTCAGTTAGAGGAGCTATCAGGCAAAAATCAGAGCTGAATGCCTCAAGATGCTTTATATCATCTTGCAGGTTAGTTGTATCTGATCATTTGGAAAACACTTTAACAATTCGGCTGTTAAGGCCCACTTGAAAGTAAGCCTGGAATTACCGCTTTCTTCTCAGAAAGAAGTGGAATCAATGATGCTACTTAGAGGCTGGTTATAAATATTTTCAGGATCATGCTTTTAATTTTGAAAGGTAATTTGAAGACAGTGATTAAGATATATTTGGAGTGCTGCTGCGTTCATAAAACATTTTACAATTATACAGTTACCTCCGTTACTAATAATTTGCCTTATAAAAACTGAACTAATGCTATAAACTTAATTTACAATGACTGTACACCACTCGTATTTTATTCACCACTGACAGCAAAAAATCACTGAGCCTCTGTCTCGCATAAAGAATGGGGGAGAGAGTATTAGATAATGCACATCGGAAAATACAACAGAACCGCATCAAAGTAAATAATGGCTGCAGTGAGTATGTAATGTCCAATTTAGCTTTGAGCAATTACAACTGCCTATGCCCTTTGCTCCATTTTTATTTCACAAATAGACATTCATCTTTTCTTCCCATTCCAAGTAAATCTCTTTCAAGATCTGCAGATGAAGCTGTCTGGACCCTAAATGCATTGACTCTACAAGCATTCACATAGTACCTATGGCACCTATAGTACCTTTAGGCAGTACCTAAACCGACGTGAATCAGAACACAGAACTAACTACATCAGCTAAAAAAGTAAGAGTAATTCTTATGTGCTTGCATAATAACACTGAATTTTGCAGGTCTGAATCAGGTAAGTAAAGCTAAATTTTCAGTGTTTCATCTTCTCTCCGTTCACGTTTAAAAGAGCTAAGCTAAGCTTCCCTCCTGCAACGTGACTTAATAGTGTTTACACTGACACAGCGGTATTGAACTGGTGCTTACAGACTGGTCCTTCATAAATTCATAACACAAATTTCTCATGGAAGGTAGCTTTAATTCTTCTTCATCCTTCCCTTTCATACTCAGCTCCTGGTGCATCCTGCAGGCTTCAGGACGTTGTACATTCAATACCAGACTAGTTCCAACAAGAGAAAGAATACTGAAGAGGCCTGCCAAACTGTAATGATAGATCTCTTTAAATCACTGTCAACATCAGCCTGAGCACTGTCATGAAGCTAACACCCATCCAGAGGCCTGCTGCCTCCAGTGGAATTGTGAGCAGGTGGACAAATCCATACCTAGAAATCACTACAGAATTTTTCTCCCTGCCTGCTCCTGGTCCACCCTCTGCAAACAATAAAGTCCATTCTCGGCATCATAAATGTAACTAAATAAATACCTACATACCCAGCATCTTCTGCTTTGAAATATGTTCTATCACCCATCTGGGCACCCGTTTTGCCTGGTCATAAGACAGTGCATGATTTGTGTAACATCTGGTCTCTGTTCCAGCTTCAGGGAATCCATATTTTTCCAGAAGAGACTCTTCTACAGGCTCTAAGGAAGAAAAAAACAACAAAAACCCACCTAAAAATCAGAAAGGCATCCAAAGATGAAATGTGATCAGGAACAAGACAGTAAGAAAAGCATCTCAGTTTATGTAAACATAGTGCATAGAGAACTACTTGAGGTTACTGCCACAATTAAGACCCAGAAGAACATTAAGCAGGCTATGCAGTGAAGCTGCCTTCTACCAAAAAAGCTTTCATCATGTCCCCACATTTAGATCTTGGCTCTAGTAGTCATTCACTCTAATGCCTACACACATCTACCTAGCAAACACCCTGGGCTGGCCTTCAGAAAAAAAAGCCACCGGATATTCAGGCGACAAGGAGTTATGAACATGGGACACCAACGCACATTTCACCCTTCAGAGCTGGAAATCGCACTCCTCCTCACAAACCGAGATGTACAAGTTGAGCACAAGCACAAGCCCTATCCACGTTGGGAACGCTAACACTCTACTGGATGAAAACAACACTCTCAGAATTTTATTTTTTGCAAGTAACATTTTTCTCTTGTGGAGCAATATTTACATCTACCTTACTGACTCCCTTGTCTTCCAGCCATCTGTTAGATAGCAACTCACCCCTCTTCCTGTGCTTTCCAACATTTTGATACTTTTAAAGCTTTCAGGCTCCAGAAGAAAAAACATCCATTCTGAATGGTGCCCCCTCCCCATGTCCTGCACCCCCACGCTGACTTCATCTCCCCAAGGCAGCCAGGGGAAACAGTTGCTGAAACTTATTTATGGCCTGACCTGAACTGTATGTTTAAATGTAAATATGCACACATATACACACAGTTATATATTCAGGCGACGCTACCGGATCACAGAGGACAATGGGTCTCCGCTCCCCGCTGTAACACGGGACATTTGCAGCCAGATGTCTCACATGTCACCAAC